TTGGTGGTGGTGGTGGTGGTGGTTGTTTTTCAGGACAGGCCAACCATCCAGGTTAGCGCAGTGCTCTTGCCTGGCCAACCATCCAGGTTAGCGCAGTGCTCTTGCCTCGGCCTCCCAAGCACTGGATTACAGGTGTGTGCTGCCATGCCTGGTCCACTTCTCTTTCTTTGCTGTCTGTGAAGTTGCTTAAATTTTCATTCTATTTCATCTTCATAAAGTTATTCTACTTAACTCATCCTTTTAATCTTTCCGTTTTATTGCCCTTTAATCTGTATTTTACCCACCAATAGTTTCCATGTTAAATCTTGGGTATCATCTGTTCTGTCACTGTTCCTTTTAGTTGTAATCATTTATTCCTTGATTACTTGTCAGTTTCTGACAATTGGCTATTTATTTGGCTTCCTTGTAGTGCCTGTCCTTACTGCTTAAATTTTTGGTCACTTGAAGGTCTTTTTCAGTCTGCCACCTGTATTGGTGGCCACCATTTCGGTGGTTCTGACCACCATGGTCAGCCATTTCTTACATATGAACATTAAGTGTATTGCATTTCCTAGTATGTTCCTCTGTGGTGAGTAAGTTAAGTTGCTGTGTACAGTTATAGTCCGCTTACAACTCAGTTTCACTGCAGGTTTTTTAGTAAAGCACTAGGTTGGTTCAAAGTCTAAATGGAAAATCATCACACACAGTGTGAGCACCATTGCTGACACTAGGGTGTTTTTTTTCTATCACTTGTGGATGAAACTATTCTTTCTGCAATTGCCACTTTTTGTAGAAAGTTGCAAAGTAGCAATAGCATTTTCCTCCCAGTGTCTATGAAAATTTCCAAGCGTGCAGTGAACTTGAAAGAATTTGGATCCGATACCATGTGTCTACCTACAGTTGAGCTGCTGCTGTCACTATTTGTATTACTTTATCACACATTTATACTTCTGTTGATTCCATCTTGTTTTTTACTGCACTTCAGGGTTAATTACTGACATGTGCACACCCTCCATGGTTTAAATGATTTTTAAAGCTTGCTGTCCATTTGTCTAAGAATAAATTATGACCTTCTAGATGTGATTTATTCTATAGAGCTTTCATTTGTAGAATTGTCTGATTAATTCAGTCAAAGAAATAAAATAAATGTCTTTTAAATGGGTAAGTATAAAGTGTCTGTATCAACTTTTAGAGCTCTCTCCTATGGAAGGTCTCACTTGATCATCATTACTAAGAAAGACACAGATTTATTTACTATGTGTTCCACACTATCTTGTCTTAAGGTTCTTAAGTCATTAGCATGTGAATAAACTATAGAATCTAAGCAGCGTTTTACTTTTGGGAGTTCTGGTCGTGAATGGCTGCTAAAAGTGTCACCAAAAGGACATAGATCAGGGAGATACCCCGCTTCATTCCTTGCTTCCTCTTTGCTTATTCTCCTTTTCACTCTTTTCCTGCTTCCTCTTCTCTCTTCTTTTCCTTGTTTCTTTAGTACTTGGAGAAAGATATATACTTTCTTGTGTTTATTTGCTGGAGGGAAAAGAGAGTGAAGAAGCCAAATGATTAGATGAAAAGATGACAGGAAAGTGGTTCAGGCCTGAAATGCAGTACTTTGGGAAACTAAGGAAGAAAGATTGCAAGCTCCAGTCCACCCTGGAGAGTTCAGCAACAGAGTGAGACCTTATCTCAAACTTCAGAAATAGAGGGCCAGGGTTACATTTTAGTGCATAGGCTTAGGGTTGACCCTAGTACTTCAGAAGAGTAGAGGGCCTGGTGGGCTGGGGGATCAGTGAGAAGCGCCTGAGCTGGTATTTATTTTAGGCTTTGCAGGTCAGTTTAAAACTCCTCAGTGCTGCTGTTAGAGTGAAAACCGTACCAAGCAGATTAGTGAGTGAATTTGACTCTGTTCTGTTAAATCGTGTGGGCACAAAATTGAATTTCACTTAACACATGTTGGACCACAGTGTTCTCATCCACATTTTTTCAACCATTTAGGAATGCAGAACACTATAAGCTTGTGAGCTATGAAAAACAGGTGGTGGGCTAGATTTGTCCCAGGGCTCTTGACTTGGTGACTGACTACATAGGGATTTGAATTTTACCAGAAAGTCATTATCAGTGTACAGCCTTCCATCTTAGAAGCCTTTTATATCCTCCAAATTAGATGAGGTTACAGATGAACTCAAGTAATCTAAGGTGTCATTGGAGTGAGGGCCCTAGCATGATCTTCAAACCTTATTTTGTCAGTGTAGCTGCTATTTGTAGACCATTACAGAGAAGCAGATTGGTTCAAGGGAGTTACTCTTGAATCTCTCCGTAGTAACATTCAAAAGCCCAAGACTTAAGAGTCAATTCTGGGTTCAAATCTCTTTCTCAGTATGCAGTGTGTCACATAATTCCTCTGAGCATTCACAGAAAGGGGTTCATACAGTGAACTCATAGACTCTCAAGGGTGTTAACAGTCACAACAGTGACAATACCTGCTAACAAATTGTGATTAGAATGTGCTCGGTGGCATTCTAATCAGTTTACACGCTATAATTTGCATAGATGTAGCCCTCTCACTGATGAGGAAATCAGATAGAAGACTGTATAACTCACTTCAAAGTCTTGTAATAAGTATGAGACAGCCAGCACGTGGACTGGGGCAGAGTTTTATATCGGGTAGCTGGTTAGTGCCAGTTTCTCATCTTCTTGTTTGTTACACAAAATAATTTAGAATTGAGACCTCAAAAACTCTTCAAGATGAGAAAATTGAGGCCTAGAGGATTGTTTGCTCATTATTGTACAATTACTTACAAGGAACTGGTCCTACAGGTGTGATGTTTTTCCATGGTGTTCTGTTTTTACTGTTCACACTGCTTTATTCAGTATATAAAGGACATCATTTATGTGACTGGTTACTTTGGTTTATTTTAAGACAAAACCTAGCATTTTTATTAAGAAACATAGCTAGGGTATTTAGGTATTTTGAGTTCTCTAATCTTTAAAATAAAAAGTCATATGGATACTTCAATGAATTTTGTGACCATTCAAATCATCTATGTGAAAAAGTGAAATTGCTAGCATTCTTCTCATGCATATGTATTCATTTTAATATACAAGTAGCATGTCTGTTATAAAAAGAGTATGTTGGGAACAAAAGGGTGAATTTAAAAACTCATTCAACTGTGTCATTCAGACAGAACGAGTCAACTCTTTGAAACAGGTTCACCCTACACCTGTGGACTTATGACTGGCTTTCGTCAGTCAGTGATCCACAGGAAGACCATTGCCACACGCAGGCATTGCTAACCATGTGCTCCACCGAGTGGCTTCTGTCATGCTCGCTGTAGATAAACCTGTGTTACTGGGCATTGCTGATTTCTCCCCCCGTCACAGAAACAGTGCATTTTATAAAATTGTTCAGCTATTTTCAGCAAACTGTTTCTCTAATTTGTATGATATTTATATTTCTGAGACTTTGAAATAAGTTCATAGTTTCCCTCCAGAAAGGAATTGCCTGTTTATGTTCTTCATAAGGAAATCCATAGTTTGACAAAGTATCAGATAAACCTGTTTTTTTACTAAAGAATACCATACTCAGTAGGTGTTAAATGTTCTAGATTCTGTATTTTACTTGTTTTTTTAAACGTTTTCTTGCTTTTATGTTTTACTCATGTCTGGAATAGTAATTTTTAATGTTCTTATGTGAGGGTGGTTATAGCTGCATTACAGTGGATGTCTCTTAAGTCATGATTGTGTAATTTATAGTGTGCTTCGTGGGGTTCTTTTTTTTCTTTATTTCTCTATTACATATATGTAAATTTGCATGGAATATTTAGAAAATATAAGCACTAGGGTGAATTGGATGTGCTTGAAATACCGATCTTTGTTGTTTGCCTTGGTAGTTTAGAATTAGAGTTCTACTTTTTAAGGCAAAATTAATCTTACTAATGTCCCTCATCTACTTGTTTGCTACCTTAAGTTTCTCCTGATAAACAAGGCACAAACGCCAATGCCAGTAGTCACTAAGTCCTACACTGTGTTAAGAAAATGGCAGGAATGTTTTGAGAAATTTGGTGAATTCTTTTTTCTCACAGTTTTAATTTTTCACTTTTTTTCCCATCATTTTGAATTTGGAACCCAAAAGAGTAACTATGAATTATGTTTCTTTGGATCCAGTAAACTGTTCATTAAATAGTGATAATCTTATCCCATGACTTAGTAGAAGCATAAAATGTTCTGGTTAAATAAACAGCAAAGATAGATTATGTGGTTCACCCTCCATATTCCCTTTTTCAGCAGTCCCTCCAGTGTTTTGGTTGCTTGCTAGAGCATTAACCCACTTTAGTTTTACCCACTTTAGTTTTAGTATAAGAGGGATGTAAAATTTTCATCTTAATGGAACTTAAAATACGCAGTGTTCCTAAAAGAGTTAACAGGGAGCTTTAGTGATTGGTTTGGATTCATGTTTAACTGCTTTGGAGCCACTTTTCTTGTACTTAAAATTCCTTTGTTAAGTTTCCTTCTAAATCTTTCATATGATTGGGGAAAATATTTTTTCATTCCTAATACAAATTTTGTGTTATCTGCAAGTCAGATATTTACAAGTGGTTGAAATGAAATGGTGGTTATTAGGGCAATCTAGGTTGATGCTTTAAAATAGACTTTAATTTTATTAATGTTAGATTTAAAATGACAGAACTGACATCTGTAAACCTTATAAATGTTCAGTTGTTACACTAAACAATTTAAGCTTACGCACTTAATACACAAACCCCTTACCCTGTTCTAAACAAAGAAAAGCATATTGTATTGGATACATTTGATAGCATTGGCAGTCACTATCTTAGTTTCTTAGAAAATATAAAATACTTCACAAGTCAGCAGTTGATGGTAGTTGATTTCCATTTTTTACATCTCATCTTGATACGCAGCACTTTATTACTTCAGTGCTTGACTAACTTTTGCCTTGGTGATCTGTTGAGCTTTGTTCTGAGCTGTACTAATCACGCTTGTTGTTTGAATGTTTGCTACAGGAAGCGAGCAGCTGCAAAGCATCTAATAGAACGCTACTACCACCAGTTAACTGAAGGCTGTGGAAATGAGGCCTGCACGAATGAGTTTTGTGCTTCCTGTCCAACTTTTCTTCGTATGGATAACAATGCAGCAGCTATTAAAGCCCTTGAGCTTTATAAGATTAATGCAAAACTCTGTGATCCTCATCCCTCCAAGAAAGGAGCCAGCTCAGCTTACCTTGAGAACTCGAAAGGTGCCCCTAACAACTCGGAGATAAAAATGAACAAGAAGGATGGAAAAGGAGCTAGAATTGATTTCAAAGGTAAGCTGTTAATTTTTAATAGACAAATGTCTGTTAAAACCATGGTAGAGATTAAAGTGTGTGTTTCGTTGTTTTGCTTTACCTTCCATAGATTTAGTGATTGCTGATGAAAAAGATTATAAACCAAAATTTTCTTTGTGAATGAAATGATTAGTTTTTATACTTTCTTCCATTAGGAAAAAATGTATTAAATTGTAGTTAATCTGTTAAATTAGGTCACAGAAGAGTGTTTAAATTATTATATAAGTGGACTAGATATTTGCCATAAACACTGGAACCCCAGGACTGTGGTGAAAGAAGCAGAAAGATAAAGCAGCTTTTTCTTTTTCCATTTTAGAAGATGAGACAGACTTTTGTGATTCTTACTAGAGAAATCTGTTTTTCCTAAGAATTTTTTCCTGCATTTTGCCCATTCCTTCAGACATTTAGTACTTGCTGCCAAGGATCTTGACCTGCCAGTGGCAATCTTCACTAAAATTTTTAGTTTTTAAAAAATAGCACTATATTCTAAAATTTCTTAAAACTTTCTCTTGCCATTCTGATCTTCAAGCTTGCTTTCTCTTGGTGAAGGTAATTACTGCATAGTTATGGTGTATAGAAGTTTTAAATGCCTGGCAGGGCAGAGCCCCACCACAGAGGCAGCTGTGTTTAAGAGAAAGCTTTGCATTTGACTTGTATGTAAGTCAGAGAACACCTCCAATACGTTAGTGACATCATGTGCAACAAGTTTAAACGAGTTAGTGGCATCAAGTTGCGCTGTCTTCCATTTCGACAAACAGCAGCATTGATACCCTTCCCCAGCTTTGTTACTAAGATGTGTAGTTCTGCTCCACGAATCAACATTCAAACTGTAGGAAACAGGAGCCCGTCGTCTTTCTGTGAGTGTGGGGCTTGCACTGACTCCATTATACACATTTTTCTGCACGTGTGTGTCATACAGTCAGGTGTGGCCATAGTTGAGCACATCCAGCTTTGGGGAAATACTGTACCTTACGGGTGTATTTGTCTCGTTTGGGGCCATGTGATCATTCTTTAGAGGTGCTGGGTGTGTGTTTTCCCAGTCTTTGTGTTCCTTGCCTTTTGAGAAGTTTACATTATTTAGCAAGTTCAGCCTTTCATTACTCTTTCTTTACAGGAGGCTGTTATCAACACCATTTGTTTTCCCCAGGGTACTATATTAGGGTATTTTTCTAGTAGTACTAAAAAGTACTTTAATTACACCAGTGCTTTATTCTGATGATTCTGTTATCTCCAGTCACAAGGTTGAGCAGGCATTAGTCTCCCCAACGTTTGTTTCGCATGAGATTTTAAGTGCAAAATTTTATGACTTGACTATTTCAGAAACACATATATATCTGCAAATACACTGATAACTCCTATAAAAAACAATTTTCAGTGGAACACTCCTTTTTGATAAACAGATTATTATGTTTCTTTTATATACACAAACGCTAATGTTGTAAACCATAGTGTGGTATGTGGGATGGATATTGGCATGTTCTAATTAGGAGCAGTAGAATGTCAGAATCACTTGGTGAATGTGTTCTGTAAGCATGGCAGGGTGACAGGTTGTGTGGGTCTCTCCCTCCGACCCTGTTACTATACAGATAACAAGGTTTTATTAATTAATAACCTTATGATTTGATGATTAGGAGGCAACCTGTTTTATGTCCTAAGCTATGTATAACAGGTATTTTCTGTGTTTTGGTTATAGTTTAGGAAATTAGATGAGGGGTTTTTGCCTGAAAGCATGGTAATATTTTCATGTAGAGTAATGAGAAATAGACTTCTGGTGAGTGGTTTTACACTTTTTATAAAGAGATTACTAATGTTTCATAAAAGACATCAGTATATTCGTAGTAAAACATGCCTAAGAATTAGTTCTGGAAAGGATAGAGCCTATGAAAAATAACTACAGGTGTAGATGTTTGTAGCCTAGCCACAGATGAGGTCTGTGATGTGATGAAATTTGGTTTTCTTGGGGTTTAACTTTTGGAGGACATTACTTCAGTAATCACTTGCATTTTACATTATCTTTTACCATGGAGTAAGTACCTTAAAACAGGGGTGGCATGGATTGTGTTTTTTTGCACTGTGTTTAGTGTACGTTTAAGGGTGTGTTTGGCATGGCAAGGTAGGATTGTCAGCATAACTGCCTTATGTATTTAGCCTAATGAAAATCTGTCCCTTTTTTGATGAAAGTGATACATTGTTTCACTATGTTATTGCAGAATTTTGAGACATAAAGTGTTATCATTTTTTTTTTTCCTGTAAGATAATCTTTCACTGTGTTAGCCAGAAAAAGGACAGCCGTGGCCTGAAAGTCACACATGTCATACAATTAGAAAATGTGATCCAACTCTGCCCAGGAAGAGATGGACGTGGGTTTTGTTGGTTGCATAGTCTGTTTTGCTTCTTCCCACTGCTGGTTTTGTCAGCCCCACCTTGAGTGCAAGCACTCTGCTCTTGAGCTACATCCCCTGCCCAGCCCAGTTGTTCTATACAGACAGAAGTACTATTTGCAAAAGATGACGCTGAAGGGTTTTGTTCAGATCTTGTCATCTTGGTCTTTTGAAAGTAGGGAAAAATCTTTCAGAGGAACACTGTTTCTTCTCTATGGCAAGGTTGTAATAGGCTAGCACTGATACAGTGGTACATATTTAAAATTAAACCTACTGGTAGATGCCTTGGTCACAGAGGGAGTTGGAACTGTTAATGACCTCTAGTAGCTATGTATTGTTGAAAGAATATAAAAGAAGGAGTGAGGTTATTGGTATTAATAGTTCATTGGTGAAAAATAAGCATATCACTTTGATTGCTGAATTATTAAAAGTTATACACTTTTATAAAGGAATTTTAATTTTCAAATGTTACTGTCTAAATTTTTGGCTATTTTATTTTGCTGTTTTACTTAATTGTAGCAAAGCAAGCACTGCACAAGCTATGAAAATAAGTGTTCTATTTTTCCTTCTAATTTTCTAGATGTGACTTATCTTACTGAAGAGCTGGTGTATGAAATTCTTGAAATATGTAGAGAGAGAGAGGATTACTCCCCTTTAATCCGTGTTATTGGAAGAGTGTTTTCTAGTGCTGAGGCACTGGTACAAAGCTTTCGGAAGGTCAAACAACACACCAAGGAAGAACTGAAATCTCTTCAAGGAAAGGATGAAGACAAGGATGAAGATGAAAAGGAAAAAGCTGCGTGTTCCACTGCTGCTATGGAAGACGATTCAGAAGCGTCTTCCTCCAGGATAGGTGACAGCTCACAGGGAGACAACAGTTTACAGAAACTAGGTCCTGATGATGTGTCTGTAGATATTGATGCTATTAGAAGGGTCTACACCAGATTACTCGCTAATGAAAAAATAGAAACTGCCTTTCTTAATGCACTTGTATATTTGTCACCTAATGTAGAATGTGATTTGACATATCATAACGTATACTCCCGTGACCCTAATTATCTGAATTTGTTCATTATTGTAATGGAGAATAGGAATCTCCACAGTCCTGAATATCTGGAAATGGCATTGCCATTGTTTTGCAAAGCAATGAGCAAGTTACCTCTTGCAGCCCAAGGAAAACTGATTAGACTGTGGTCTAAGTACAGTGCAGACCAGATTCGGAGAATGATGGAAACATTTCAGCAACTTATTACGTACAAAGTCATAAGCAATGAATTTAACAATCGGAATCTGGTGAATGATGATGATGCCATTGTTGCTGCTTCGAAATGCTTAAAAATGGTTTACTATGCAAATGTAGTGGGAGGGGAAGTAGACACAGATCACAACGAAGAAGATGACGAGGAGCCCATCCCAGAGTCCAGCGAATTGACACTTCAAGAGCTTTTGGGAGAGGAAAGAAGAAATAAGAAAGGTCCTCGAGTGGACCCCCTGGAAACTGAGCTTGGTGTTAAAACTCTGGACTGTCGAAAACCACTTATCTCTTTTGAGGAGTTCATTAATGAACCACTGAATGAAGTTCTAGAAATGGATAAAGATTATACTTTTTTCAAAGTAGAAACAGAGAACAAATTTTCTTTTATGACATGTCCTTTCATACTGAATGCTGTCACAAAAAATTTGGGATTATATTATGACAATAGAATTCGCATGTACAGTGAACGAAGAATCACTGTTCTCTACAGTCTAGTTCAAGGACAGCAGTTGAATCCATATTTGAGACTCAAAGTCAGACGTGACCATATTATAGATGATGCACTTGTCCGGGTAAGTTTGGCTTCTACTTAAAATCAGTATTAAATTAAAAGCCTCCTGGTGGGGATATTGAGATACAGTTTAGTGAATTCCTTTTAAAGGGGGATTGTTAGCAGAAAGTAAATGTCCTAGCCTAGGAACACATGGACATGTTTTTATCTTAAATAAACCATTTTACTTTTGGTTGTACCTGACCAAGTTTAAATGTGTTTTATAAAGTATTGGCTGTCTTATCTTTACTCGGTCTTTAGAAAAAATGGGTTTTCTAAATTTAGAAAAGTTGCCCCGTAAGTGTCACCCATTTAGCAGAGAAGTGGAACTCGGGAACAGGGGAAATGTGGAAATCCGTGGTAGTAAATGCTGGGTGTGAGGTCTGCGGAGAAGGGACGCGCTAAGTCTCCGTCATACAGTTCCAATTAAGTAGTGTCCCAAAAAGCTGCATCATGCAGAATTTGAGTTGCATTATTATGAATTCGAGAAGGTGAGGAGGGCAGATGGGTGAATACATGTTTGTCAGTGAGATTTTTGAACCCTGCTAAACTGCACGGAATGTCCTTGTATTATACTGCATGGTCTTGGTAATTTTTCTCACTTAAATTTTTTTAGGAGCAATTCTAGAAGAAAAAATGAGAAACTTTTTGATTAACTCAATATTCATCTTTTTTAAAGTCCAGCATAGACAGCTGAAGGGATCTTACTACAAGAAGTCAAGCTTGAGAGTGGTTTTGGCATTTGGATCCGTGCTGTAACAGTGGATATGCATAGATAGGCCTAAAGTACTTTAATTTCACTCACATTCTTCTGCCCTGCCATTCTGTTAAATTATTGAAAAGTTGATGGCTGCCAGATGACCAGTCAGTAATTGTATTAATTATTCACGTGGCTCAAAGACACATAAGTAAAATTTAAAAGGGCATCTCAGAAAGCCAGTAGTGAAAATTAGTTCAGGCAGCTGAGCATGGTGGTGCATTCCTGTAATCCCAGCACTCAGGAGGCTGAGGCAGGTGGATCGTTGCAAGTTCGAGACCAGTCTGGGCTACCAAGTGAGCCCAAGACCAGCCTGAACTGTATAGTGAGACCCTGTTTCAAAAAAAGGCAAGACAGGAAAAAAAAAAAAAAAACCACACACACAAGATAGTTCAAGTTGTTCAAACTTTGCTTCTGCTGAAAACTGCTTGAATTTCTTAATGCAGAACTGTTCTTCAACATACTTGACATTTAAAAAAAGAAAGGCATAAAATCTTTAATGTTTAATTTGAAGATACAAACAACTTTGTCGACTGGTTGATAGTTCTATTAATTCTCAGTACTTTTGCAAATCCATTCCAAAACCAAAATACATTTTGTAAATAAGTATCACTGTTTCCTAATTGTTTGCGTTGTGCGGTCTTATTCATTGTTAGTAAGATCAACTAATTGTAGTTGATGCTAAATTTATTTGAAAAACAGTGAACAATGACGGATACTTATTACTGTGAATATAATAAAACCTTGCAATAAAGCACCCTCTGAAAAATACAGTTTTGGTCAGATGTGACCAGCAACCTTTGTAAACCTGGTGGTATTTTCATAATGAGATGACAGCCTACTTTAGGAGTTCTGAGAGTGCTTTTATATCTTGTCATTGAAAATAAAAGAACTTTATAGAATTTTGTCTGATAGCTAATAAAAAGCTCAGAAATTAAAAATCTTTTAATGCAGCAATTGTGAAATTGAGTGTTAGAAGTTATACAAGAAGCAGATGTCATTACATCCAGTCTTTGTGTATCTTTCCCCAGGGGTGTCTATTAAATTGAAAAGAATATGTCCTCTTACTTAAAGAAATACCTGTATCTAAAAATCCATGTCTGTGTATTACATACTATTTTTTTCAAAAGATACGTGACCTGTGTATCCTTAAGTGATACAGTATTTTAAAGAATCCTGTTCATCTGAGACCAGTACTCTCAAAATAGACAACTGGAAATTTTTACTGGAATTTTTACAATTCCAGGCAGCACTGGAAAGATGCTGGAAGAGTCGGGGGAGCACAGTGCCCAGTGGCCACTGAGAGTCTTTCATGGAAAAAACAGTGTTTTCCCATACCCACAGTTGGGATCCCCTAAGGAAGCACAACACCTGAGGGTACTTAAGAGCATGAGTACACTTGACTTTGTGTGACTTGAGCAACTCAACCTCCCAGAATTCAGGTGCCTACTATTTTTTAAACCATTCTTTTTCAGTAGTACTTACATTGTAATGGATCCTGAATCTGAAGTTTATATACATAGTCATTAGAGAAAATCGAAAGACTAAAAAGCATAAAGAAGAAAATAGAAATCACTAACTTCCCAGAACTAAATTATTACCAGTTGTTGTGAAGAGGTGGTGAAACACTGTCGTGGAGAGCTTGCTTCCATTGTTGGTCTCTGCTCTGACTCACCTGTGCCATCAGCATGTTGTTTAACCTTGCATTACTCCACAGTTCCCATCTGTACAGTGGGTAATGATACTCCCTGCCTGGTGAGACTGTTGTGGGAATGAGTGCGGTGCCTCGTGTTAAATGCTCATAAGTTCTTTATTTCTCAAGAACTGTTGTTGCTGTTATTCGTAGAATATTTTCGTTTGATGCCACAGTTGTCAGATTTTCAGACAACCTTGGAAAAAGTTTCGAGCCAGTAGAATAAAAACAAACTATAATATGCTTATTTTATAGATGAAGCTAAGGCAAAGAGAGGTGAAGTTATTTATTTACAATGAAAATAATGATGTACTAAGTTTTTTTGGTACCCAAGGTAGAGAACACAGTCGAGTAATGGTGGAAGTGTACAGACGTGTTATATTTTACGAATAAACACAGGTCTGTCTCAGTTGTCATGTGACATGCCTTATTTGGAGCTAAGACTAAAATGCAGGGCCTCTGCTTCCCTTGGAAACTCTCAATCAAATCATTGCTAAGGAGCCAGCTCGCATTTATTAACCTTAATGTGAAAAGCCATAAACAGCATAGTCTTTCAGGCATTGTTTTTTTCTGTTGTTGGAATTTATTATACTTAATATAAGCACCTTTGGCTTTGTATTGGGAAGCCAAGTGAAAATTTTGACTTGCATCTTTTAACAACACCAAGCCAGTTGAGAACTGGGAGAAGAAAACTAGGAAGGGGTTATACAGGAATATGGAACACTGGTCTAGTACCAAATTCACACTGAGATGGTGTTGTAGTCGTAGGCCTTAGCTTGAGACATGTTAACAGCTGGAACTTCTGGGCAGTGGGGACAGTGCTGGGTATTGAACCCAGGCCTTACACAGGCTAAGCAAGTGCTCTATGCTGAGCTACATTCCCGGCCCAAGAATTATTTATTTTTTGAACTAAGGTAATGTTTTACTCTACAATCTTAGAACTAGTCTCAAGTTCTTCTGGGGACATAAATTATTAATCTTATATCCCATACAAAGTTGTTTTAAATGATAATAGTATGATGTGTTACTCTTAATATTGCCTGCTCTATTGAACTTTTTCCTTATATATTCTTATGAAATCTTCACAACCTTGTAATTGTTTTCTTTGCAGCTGAAGAAACTGAGGCTTAACTGAGTTACTTACTGAAGCATAAATATTAAAAGTTTTGCTAGGGTTGTAGCTCAGTGATATGGTAATTGTGTAGCATCTTAAGCCCTTGGTCAATTTTCAGTACAGTACTGCGGGGGGAAAAAAGAGAGAATGAAAATGAAATAAGGCATGTTCTGAGACTTAATCTTTCTTCCTGCAATAAAATGCTGTCTCAAAATAGATTGTTCTAAGACAAATTAGCCTAAAAATGATGTATTGAAAACCATTGTTGAATTCTTTAGACTGAATTCACAGGCTCATGAACCCCAGGGTTGAAAATATCCAGGATACAATTTCAGTCAGTTTTTTGTGACTTTTCTCAAGTACATCCCCTAGTAGTAAATACCATACATCATGCATATTCATGTGTACACCTAATTAAAGCCAAAGTTTCGCAAAACATTAAGTTACATTGTTACTGGAATGCAGTCTGTCTTTGTCCCTCTCGGTTATAGTCTACTAAATGAAATAGACCACCCACAAAAGAAATTGCAGTTAACAGTTTGAAATACATGGGGTAACTAGACCTGATTCATTTATCTATGAGATTTTATTTCCCTTTTGGACAGTAGAATGTTAGCTGGACTAATTTCTTTTGGATCACAGTATATTTATCCAGTGATTTTTGCTTTTTCAAAATCATTTTTAAAATTACATTTGCAGTAGTTGGAATAACCTAAACATCTTTAAACACTGTTTTATGAGATTTTTACTTTGAATAGTGAATTTTTCTTTTAAGTAACCAACAGACCTTTGGACATAATTTAGCAAATAATAGATAATTAATCGCAATACTATTAGCAAATTTTAGAGATAAAAACACTTAAGTAAAAATATTTCACATTAGAACCATGTTGGCTGGTTAGTCACTGAGTATGAATTATTCTGGAGATATAAAAGTATTTGGTAAGATATTTATAGTTGAAGAAGTGCCAAATTGTAGAGTTTGTTAACAAATGTTAAAGAGTAAGGACATAGAGCACTTTCACCTGCATTCATGAAATGGCTAGAGACACATTAAAATCCATTTTAAAAAGGGCAATTTACAGGAAATGTGCCTGAGACCATAAGCTGTTTTATTGTTTATCCAGTATGTTTTTTATGTTAATTTATCTTAATGACAATTAGTAAATTCCAGCAAACACAAAGGACTGCTAGTAACAGTGTTGAAGTCAGCCTTCTGTCCTTCGTTATTTTTGCTGAAATAATGTAGTGTTGGTAGTCACATAGGCAGCTTGCTTGTCTTGATTTCCTTCACCTGTTTAACTGTGAGGCTCAAATTTGTTACAAACAGGAAACGAAATCTTAACTTCTTCTAAATAATGATTCCATAGTAAATCAGTGAGATTAGAAATAACGCTTTTATTCTTCCGGTTTCTTTTCTGTCATGTTATTCCCATTTCTGTGAGACTGGATCTGTATTTATAGGCCTTTAAAAATAAAATCTGAGTGTCCTATTTCCATTTTAAAAGAAAAAGTCAAAATCTTGCATTTCTTCTCTAGCCCTACTCCTTATGTTTACATGTTTCTCCTACTTTTATTTCACTGTTATCCTGATGCCAGCAGTAATCTGTGTATATTTATCTTTTCAATCATAGCTGGAGATGATTGCTATGGAAAACCCTGCAGACTTGAAGAAACAGTTGTATGTGGAATTCGAAGGAGAACAAGGAGTTGATGAGGGCGGTGTTTCCAAAGAATTTTTTCAGTTGGTTGTGGAAGAAATCTTCAACCCAGATATTGGTAATTATTTTAGTAATATGATTATGGCATCATATCCTCTTGATTTAAGGTTTTCTTTATCTTAGTTTATAAATATTCTTAGGTATGAAAGCAGCAAAAGAAGATTTTGGTATGGACTACCTATAATTGCAGACTAGTTTGTGCTATAGGAATTGATCTATGTCACTCATTTATTAAATTCTTATTTGAATTACTTAGCCAAATATTCTAAGGTTTAATGGGAGGTACCTTACAATGTTATATTTCAAGGATTTCTTTCCTTTTTATAATCTGAAACAATCACCAAACACAGTGTTCTGTTTGATATGTAAGATTTCTTGAAAAGTTGAATATAGCTTAGTGGTGGAGCCCCCAGCATTGCTTAAAATAAATAAATTCTTATGGCTTAGCGTTACTGTGATATTTCCTCCAAACCATGCCAAAACTCTTTCCATCCCACACCTAACGGTATTTGCTCCTGAAGTAGTTTCCATTTGAACACAATTCGGGAAAGGCAGATTATATACGTCAGTCAGAAGTACAGGGTCTCGGTCTAATTTTATACCTTGTGGTGAGCAGTAGAGGCAAAGCAGAATGGGGAAGGCCGTGGCCTGGTGGGCAGTCTGCCTAAGCGGGTGATTCTGAGCTTATTTACCTTCTGTCACAGCTTAATGGCCCTGCGTTTAAATGGGGAAAATACAGGAAAAGATTTTCACTAAAAGAACCATCAGAATTGTGAGCAAGACTACATAGAATACTGGACATCATTTGCCCTGAGCTTTGAGAATTGAGATATTATAGCCCGTGAATTTTTAGTTCTGTACGCACATTGAATGAACCTCGTTGTTATTCATACATATGGGTGCATGTATGTATGTCTGTGTACATGTGTTTTAGTCTCTGCTATTTGGGTAAGTCCATGACATAAATCCCTAGTGAAGATAAGACTAACTTATCTATAGTCTATATACTATTTTTTATTAATAGAAGTCTGTGCCATTTGTTTGTAATTTGTTCACAGTAATCCAGGGCCATACAAAACCAGACCCTTGTTGAAATAGAAAATTACTTTACAACTGCATGAGAACTGTGTAAGCTCTGTATGTTTGGTAAACCTTGGCTGACAGACTAGAAATGAACATAGGTATAAACCATACTTAGATTACATGCAGAGAAGCTGATAAAAAAAGACTTCTATTAAGCAGTTCCAATCAATAGTGAAGTAGTGAAAATATACCAAGCTGAAATAGTTGCCACTCAGCATCCTGTATGGTACTTTTCTTTCAGGAACAGGAAAAATAGGCCCCAAATGGGATCTTCTTGGACTTCAAATTTGCCATCTCTCCTGGCTGGAAGTGAGAGTGACGGCCTGTGTAATTTATACTTTGGTTAATCTGTAGTTTATTATTCTTGAGACCAAGGACATGTATTTGTGACAGTTCGTCACATTCATTGCTTTTAAGCTGAAGTGTTTAGCATTTCTATGAATGTTGTAACATGGTTTGTTAAGAAACTAGATCTAAACTGTGGCACACACGTTTAAATTGGATAGCTTTGAAACTATTACTTTATTGCATTGCATTAGGAAAATAGTCTTAAGCATAGTTTTTGCCCTTGGCAAATGTCAAGAGAACATTTTAAAATTCCTTTCCACATAGACTAAGAGTGAAAATGAAAAAGCATTTTAAAAGCTTTTTATAGACTGCTTTGAAAACACATTTATGTAGTGCATTATTTAATTTCTGAGTTCTTATATGGAAAATTAAAAACAGACCTAATTTTTAAAATACTTTCTTTCAGCTTCACAGTAATAACTAAAAAACTAGAAAAATGAAAAAAGTTACAAATTCATTTAAAATATTTAACGTTCTTAGACATACATTTAAAAAGGAAGAAGATAATTCACCAGTAATGTTTATTCAGATAAATAAAACTGAAGATACCTGGTGTTTGGTTTGGTTTGGTTTTCGGTTATGGGAATGAAACTCAGGACTTTCGCTTGCCAGACAGACACTATGCCAAGATACCTGTTTTCTAAGGAATGTTATTAAAAATATCTCTAAAGTTTGGTTTTTGCATGAAGTTTGGTTTTGAATAATGTAGGCCATATGAAACTGAAAGACTACAAAACTACTTTATCCAGTGTATATAAAAAGTTGGTGAATTTTATCTCATTTTTGGGGGGATCATGACTTTGTTTTTATAGTTTTCAGCCATTTTTGAGTAAAATCCAAATAGAAAATAACCTTTCATGTGTTAGTAGATTAGAAAACTTGAATTTAATGAAATAGTTTTCTGCTGTCCTAGAAAGGTCACTAAAATTGCTTGTTTTGTTTCATTGGCTTCATAAGATGACATACAGGCAGCCATTTGCTATAGTACTATAGCGGTAATAATTCAGTACTATATTTGGATATTGTTTTTTTTTCAAGTGCAAATGTAATGGAAAGAATTTTTGTATACCTATTAGCTTTAAGTTTTAGATGTGTAATTATTTCATAATTACGTCTGTATTCTGCATTAGTTTTTCATAAAATACAAAAATAATGCATTTTTAAAAAAAATTATTTCTTGTAGGTATGTTCACGTATGATGAATCCACGAAGTTATTCTGGTTTAACCCATCTTCGTTTGAAACTGAAGGTCAGTTTACTCTAATTGGCATAGTGCTGGGACTGGCTATTTACAACAACTGTATCCTGGATGTTCACTTCCCCATGGTTGTGTACAGGAAGCTGATGGGGAAAAAAGGAACCTTCCGTGACTTGGGAGACTCCCATCCAGTAAGTTGTTGTTTTCTATTATTTCCTGTTTGATTTATATGCAGAAATATATTTTGATGTTTGGAATCCACTGATGGATATAGATACCAGTACAGGTATTTTAAGTACTGCAAACACTTACTCATGGGAAGTTTTACCTTCTACTGTCAGCAAGTAGCATTTCTCTGATATAACAGAGAAACGTTTCTAAATATTTGTTTGTTTTTAACATGTGCACAACGGGGCTATGATTTGTGTGTTTTGCAGCTTAGTAGCTCTGATTTGAACTTGTTGCATTCCTGGTGGCTTGAACCACTGCTGATACAGGCATGATCACCCAATCGGGCAGCGTGGAACATTACTGTCATGGTGCCAACTGCCCGATGGATGTTTATGCCTGCATCAGCAGTGGTTCGAGCTGACAGGAACATATTAATGCACATTCTGTGGCCTGCAGTCAGAGCTGCCCTACCCAACGGGACTGAGGTGTAGTTAGCAAGTCTTCCCCCTCTTTCCTGCTCCCCTGCCTTGAAATCAGGTGTTGAGCATTGTAAAGTCTGCCAAATTAATGGTGTGAGGTTTCTCAGCCAAGAAGAAGTCATTACCTGTGACCAGAGGAATACTGTCTATGCTTTAATTTTACTGATATGTTTAAGTTCTTATATTTTTCTCAGAAGAGTGTTACAAACGATTTGCTCTAGAGTCTTAGGTAGTCTCACATTTTCCTTCCTGATTGTTAGGTTTTACATCAAAGTTTAAAAGACTTACTGGAATACGAAGGGAACGTGGAAGATGATATGATGATCACTTTTCAGATATCACAGACAGATCTTTTTGGTAACCCAATGATGTATGATCTAAAGGAAAATGGTGATAAAATTCCAATTACAAATGAAAACAGGAAGGTAATGCTTTTATATCATCATTTTTGTTTCTTTATTGTTAATGTCGGCTTATCATTTTCAAAGAAGTATCTAGTATAATTTGAACCAAGAACAAAAAAACTAAGCACAAAATTCCTTATTTAAGGACTGAGTCATGATCACACAACTAGATGATTAAAACAAATCAGTTGTAAAATGAGTTGTGTACAGCATGTTCATGATGTTTAAAACAAAGGAAACTCCAACTTTGCTTTTATTTGAGTAACTTCGTTGTTTATTGTTTTTTGTTTTTTTTGTAGACAGGGTCTTTGCTCAGTAATTCAGACTGGCCTTCAACTGTGGCAATCTTCCTGCCTCGGTCTCCTGAGTGCTGAAATTAAAGACATGCAGTACTGTGCCCAACTCTGTCTGCATAATTATGTGTAGTAGTGTAATGTATAACAGAACGTAAAACTATAGTTCTTTACAATACAATCAGCAAAATTTACAATAGTGTGTAAACATGATGTACTATTATTTATTGAGGCTCTGTAAACAAGATGTTAAATACTGTACAAAAACAAAATTAAGTCTTACTAGTCATTAACCAGACAGTTCATTAAATGAAGACTGTCTGGAACCCAATTCATGTAAGTACTGCATGTTTAAAAATCTTAAATAGGAACCTATGATGGCACAGAATTGGGTACTGATGAGCCTCTTCTGAAGAAGAGGAGAATGAGCAGCCATGCCAGCTAGTATAAAGCCGACAGCACGTGTCTCCACGTTAGCCCTGACAGAGATTTAGGAGCATGTGCGTAAGGTCCTTATCATAGAACATGTGAAAATTTTATTGAGTGCACACGTGTAGGTCATATATATTTTTGAAAAGCAGTCTTTATATCATATTTTTGTATTGATTAGAAAACGTTCATCTGGAAGAATAGCCCAGAACGTAATAGGGAAATTATAGTATGTGTTACATCTTTAGGAGATAGCATATCAGCATAAGTTTTGATAAAATGTTATATACACACTTACGTTGCATACAAAGTATATTTCCATTTTAAAATTTGGTACAGTATTGTACCTTAACTTAGCAAAGCCGTAGCATTTTTGCTAAGCTGGATCCAGTAGGTAACTTGTCACTTGCTTTATACTAGCAAAGGTGAGACTGTATGTGCTTCACTCTAGTTCACTACATTGGATTCTATCAAAACTGACTTTTAAGAAATGTTTTTGGTGGTGTTGTGTATTGAACCTGGGGCCTCATGCATGCTGGGCAGGCACTGTGTCCTCAGGCATAGGTCTGTTGACTTATGTGCGTATTTTATGTATATGTGATTTAACTGTATCTGTTTCTACAACTTAGTTGAAGACTAAAAACATTGACAGTCCCCACCTTTTATATTCAGGCCTGCTTAATATACTGTCAAAGTTGAAACTTGGGCTGGGGACATAGCTCAGCAGCACAAGTACCTACCTGGCAAGCATGAGGTCATGAGTTCAGTACCCAGTACCCAAAAAAAAGTTGAAACTTTTGTGTGTGTGTGTGTGTCTTTTGTTTATATATATAGTATTTTTATAGCAATATTAAATATCACCAAAAAGTGAAATTTTAAGTATTTTCCTTTGTGTTATAAAACTAATTTTTACAGATACTCTTGGGTGCTTTTTTCTTGAGAAAAAAAATCTAAGCCCATCAGCTTGTTGCGTTTTTTTGGGGTAGTAGAACTTATTTTTGTTTAATGTTGTCTACAGGAATTTGTCAATCTCTATTCTGACTACATTCTCAATAAATCAGTAGAAAAACAGTTCAAAGCTTTTCGCAGAGGTTTTCATATGGTGACCAATGAATCTCCCTTAAAGTACTTATTCAGACCTGAAGAAATCGAATTGCTTATATGTGGAAGCCGGGTAAGAAAGCAGGTGTCTGCAAAGAAAAAAGTGTTGATTTATTGTTTGTAATGATGTAGTGTAGAAGATGTTAAGACCTATTTTCTTGAATTTGCAGAATCTAGATTTCCAGGCACTAGAAGAAACTACAGAATATGACGGTGGCTATACCAGGGACTCTGTTGTGATTAGGTGAGTTGCTTAATTCTTAAAAGGAAGGTTTGATTCTCCAGAGGAGTGTGTATGCTGTACGCTTCCAGCCTGTGTCTGAGTACTGATGCTCAAATGAGCATACTGACAAACTTCACATCTATAAAATTATCTGTAACATGTTACATAGTAATAATATAATTAGTTTTTAGAATTAGTCTTGTGATTTGTTTCATGAATGAAATGTTTTATGTAAGCCTTATGTTTTCTCCTGCATTTGGGTTATAAATTATCTAGTATTCTTGGTGACGTGAAATAATACCTTTTATTTAGTCCATATGACAACATGAGCAGATGCATTCATAATTAGTTTTTCCTTATTAGAGTGTGTGTGTGTGTGTGTACTAGTACATATATGCCATTATTTCCAAGTAATTCTAAGGTAGGTATTTCCCATTCTATAGAATCTACTTCTGTGTCCTACTCTACCCACCCCTTGGGAAGATTGGTAAGAGAGACTGAGATGTCCTTTTTACACCCACTGATGCAACAAGGTGTGAAGCTGTACAAGCAAGCACTTTCCTGGAAGATTAGTGCTCTAGAGTTGAGCATAACAGAGTGATAGGAAAGCCCCCTTTGTCAGTCAGAGGGAATATTACAGCAATAACAGTTGTTATGAATGAAAATAACTTCTTAATGCTTTTAGAGACTATTAGAAAATATAATTTGTGGAAAATTATCCTTGAAATTAAAGTCTTAATTTTATTTCTGGCTTTCATAACATAATTCCTACTTTATATATTCCTAAAAATAATTCATGAATGTATAATTAGAAGCATAAGCTAGTACTAGGTGGAATTATGGCAGTGTAGTATCTTCTAACTTACCCTCACAGTTGATGAGTTTTTTAAACCTTTTAAACTATTTCAATTCTTAATTGGAGAAAAGAGGAAAGTATTCACTGGGGTGTATAACTAGTATGAAGTCAAAGGCTTAAAGTAGTACCTTAAAATATCAGAAAAAAAGATAATGCAAGTGTCTTGGTTGGTGTTAATTTCATGAGTCACAATTCATAAAAAATGAAATATTCAAGAAAATTTTGGAGCACGTGTTTTCCAGAAATGAAAAAGTTCTGTTTTCATTTCTTGTTTAAACGCTTTAGGATTTCTCTTCACATGTCCTGTCCCTTGCCTTTTTTCAGTTGAGGGCAGGAACTGTTTTGGAATTATTTGTTTTTAACTGATATTTCTATTTTAAAGGCTTGATTCAGATTCTAATTTTATTTCTTCCTGTCTCAGTTAGAATTTTCATTTCTGGAACAAAATACCTGACACTCAAAGGTAAAGAAGGGAAGGTTTATTTAGCTTACAGTTTAGTCCATAATCACGTGGTTCCAAGGCGGGTGGCGTGGCAGAGGGCATCACAGAGAAGAACAGTCCACAGAGGGCAGAAGGTAGCAAAGCAAGCGTGGCGCATAACTTCCTGGACGATTTGGAGCTGCAGAAATGGTCAGCAGACCTCAGTTGGGACAGAGACTATGTCCACTACCCCAGAATTCCCACGTATCCCCTTCCGTTCAGTCTCTGCCTTCCACTGGCAACCACTGTCTTGGTTTTTTTGAGTTTTTTTGGTACCGGAGATCGAACTCACTACCTTTCATCTAACAGGCAGATAGATGCTTGTGCTGCTGAGCTAAATCCCTGGCCCAGCAACCACTGGGAATCTCTGACGGTTGGGAATACCGTCAGAGATTACTTATTTTCATACAAATGGAATCATACCATTACATATATGTATGTTTTTATGCTCCTATTCTTTAGACTAAGAGAATGTTTTCTAGATTCATGTTACATGAATTTTATATAGCTCATTGTTTTCATGACACAATATTGCATTAGATGCTGGGTGTGATGGTACATTCCTGTAATGCCAGCACTGGAAAGGTTGAGGCAAGAGGATCGTCATGAGTGTGAGGAGGGCCTGGGCTATATAGTGAAATCCTGTCTCAAAAATTAAACAACAACAAAAAAAATTGCATTACATGAATACACAGACTTTGTCCATTCTCTGGTTTGGTGCACAATTGAATTACCTCTAGACAGAGGCCACTATGAATAAGCTATGTGCAGACCTCCTGTGAAAGTCTTGTTATTTGATTTAGGCAGACATTAGGAGATGCATTAGGAGATGCAGTTTTGAGTCATGTGGAGGTACATATGTATGGGTGGACTGTAAGCATGATTTTCCAAAGTGGCCACACTGGTTCACATTCCGCCCACCAGCATCGGAGCTCCAGGCTTTCCACATTTTCTCAAGAGTTTGGTAGTGGTAGTCTGTAACTGTTCTGGTGAGTATGAAATGATTTCTCATGTGATTTTAATTTACATTTTGTTTGTAAAATGTCTTCCTCATCTTTAATTGGGTTTTTATAATTCCATTGATTGTAAGCATTTTTGTTTATAATACATTCTAGATAAAAGACCCAGGCATATTCTGATATGTATTTTAGGAATGTTTTCCCAGTCTCATAGCCTCTCTTTCCTTGTTGGATTTCCTTTGGACTGTTCATTGAAAATCAGTTTGTATGTGTCTTACCTCCAGCCTTCCCATTCTGTTTTTGCTGATTTATTTGTCCTTTTCCCAGAATTACAATAGTGCTTCCTACAACTTTATGGGCTTCAGATCATATGCTGGGGTCCTCCTCCCATCTTGTTCCTCTGGGTTGCTTTGGTTGTTTAATTTTTATGTGAATCACACTATCTTTTAGTTGTTTAAATCATTAGCTTGTCAGCATTGTTTTGCAGCTTTTGAAAGCATTCACATTTTGGTTAGGAATAAGTTTGCATACTTCATGTTTTTGATGCTAGTTTATGTGGTCTTTATTGATTTCGTTTCTTTCTCACTTTTTGGTAATATTTGAAAATAAAATGGATTTTTGTGTATTGATCTTGTATCCTCTTATCCTCCTAAATTCACTTTTAGTATATATTTTTAAAACACGCTTTTCAGAGTGCTCTATCTAAACAGCCATCTAGTCTCGAGATAAGGACACATTTCTTTCCTTCCAGTCTAAATCTTTTATTGTCCTCTGTATTGCACTGTCTAGTTAAAACTTTTAGGAAACTTACTGAGAAACAGTACAAGCATACTTCAGAGGTAGTGTGGGCTTTCTTCCAGGTGACTTCAATAAAGTACATATCAGCGTGCATAACATGAGCTTTTTGGTTTTCCAGTATATATTTAAAAGTAATGTTTACAGTGTATTGTAATTAAGTATGTAGTAGCCTTGTGCTTAAAAATACCTTATTATTGTAGTTAAAAATATGTTGTTGCTAAAAAAAATCGTTTGTGCCTCCATAAAGTCCTCACCTTTTTCTTAGTGGGGGATTTGACTGTCAGTGACTGCTGCCTGAGCAGAGTGGCTGTGGTTGTTGGTCAGAAGCTAGTGTGACTCTGAAGCTGGCCTTATTGACTGCCACTTTCACGAAGGGTTTCTCCGAAGCATGTGATAATGTTCCATACTGTCTTACCCACAGGGGGGAGTCAGTTCTCTGAAACTAAGTTTAGGTTAAATTTTAAATTCTTTGTTGTCATATCACCAGTTCCATATTGTCTTCACGAGGACTAGATTCTGTCACAAGAAAGCACTTTTTTTGCTCATCTATAAGAAACAGTATCTTAAAGAGTATTAAAATTTAATCATCAATGTGTAGCAGTTAAATTACATCTTTAGGTTTCACTCATAATTCTAGTTTTCCTTATTTTTTTTTTTTAGTACATTTACAGGGTTTTTCCTCTATTAAATTCCTGAACTCCTCCAAGTCAGTCTATTAGGTTTGCAATCTTCTTTCTTCCTAACTTTGTTAAGGTTGATATTTTGATCTTCTCCTGTGAATTGCAGATATTTAATAACACTTGCAAGAACTTCATCTACAGGCTGCAGAAGGGGTATTGTATTAACAGGCATGAAAACAGCATTAATCTTGCAGTACATCAGAGTTCTTCAGTAACCAGGTAAATTATCAGCAGTAATCTTTTAAGAGAAATCAGAGTGTTATATTTCAACTTAATAATGGGCTTAAAATATTCCATAAGCCATGTTGTAGAGATACGTGATCCTCCAGGCTTTGTTGCATTTATAACTCTGCATGGGCAGAATAGACATACTATAATTCTTAAGGGCCCTAGAACTTTTGGAATGGTAAATGAGTATTGGCTTCAACCTAAAGTCATCAACTGTGTTAGTCTCTAACAAGAGTCAGCCTGTCTTTTGAATCCATTTACTGACTTCACTTTGCTGAAACAGTCTTAGATGGCATCTTCTTGCAGCCTGAGGCTGTTTTTGTCTCAGTTGAAAATCTGTTATGTAATGAAGCCACTTTCATCAACCATCTTAGCTAGAACTTACTTCTAGATAACTTGCAGTTTGTGCATCAGCATTTGCCACTTCATCTTGCATTTCAAATTACAAAGATCGCTTCCTTCTGTAAAGTGCACAAGGTAGCTTCTGCTAGCTTCAACTTTTCTTCTGCAGTTCCCTCCCGCTCTTCGTCCTCACATGGTTGGAAAGGGTTATGGCTTTGCTTTGGGTTAAGTTTTGGCATAAGAAGATGTCATAACTGGTTGGTTTTGTCTAGACCTCTTCAGCTTCCTCCATATCAGCAGTAAGACTTTGAACTGTCTTTGAATCATTCATGGGTTCGCTGAAGTAGTATTTTAAATTCCTTCAAGAACTTTTCCTTTGCAATCACAATTTGGCTAACTGGACCAGAAGCTTAGCCTTCTGCTTATCTTGGCTTTCAACACTGTCTTCACTGAGTTTAATCTAATTTCTTGTTTTTTATTTAAAGTGAGAGATACAAGATTTGTGTTGCATTTGGATATAAAGAGACCATTGTAGGGTTGTTGGTAAGCTAATTTCAGTAGTGGTCCCCCACCATCACCAGAAGAGAGGAAGAGACGCTGGGGAATGGCTTGTTGGCCGAGCAGTCACAACACACACATTCTCCAGTAATTTCTGTGTCTTAGAATGGCCTGACTTCCGCGTCCCCAGACAGTTGCTGAAGTAATAGCAAGGATCCCTGATCACAGAACACCATAATAGAAATAATAGCAAGTTTTAAATTCCAGGAATATTGCAAGAATTATCAAAATTCTGCATAGAGACACGAAGTAAGAATATAGTGTTGGAAAAATGACACTAAAAGAAGTGCTCTAAGCAGGGTTGTCACAAGCCTGCAGTTTGTTTTTTTTTAAAAAGTGCTATTTTTTTTGAAGCTCAATAAAGTCACACTTGTACAGTATTCTACCATTAAAAGTTTTCATTTGTATAAGGTACCTGCCAAATGTGCAGTGGTGGTTTTAGTGCTGGGTTTTGAGCGTCCTCTCTGGGTTGTATGTGTACGTTCTTCCTTTTGCAGTTACATTGCTTTTTCAGGTGTGTCCGTCGGGCTAATTTGTTTGATCTCTTTCTGGGATTTATGTTTTTCTCACTGTTGGGCCTTACTTCTGTATTTTTGAGGCTGAGTTATTTGGTACTTACCATTTAAAATCCTGGTTTCTTGGTAGCTTAGTTCTTTGTTATCATATAAGGTCTTTCTTTGACATCTTACACAATTTTGTTTGCTCTGGATCCAATGTGACTATGAACATCCCTTTCTTTGTAAATTAATGTTTGCATGATTTTTCCCCATCACTTTTCTATCAGCCTATGTTGCTGAACTTGAATTTTTATTTTAATACTCATTTTGTCTGTTTCTACCTTTTAACTGGTATATTTAAACCACTTAATATTTTAGGCAATTATTCATATGTTACAACTTGATTTTGCCAGTACTGTTTTTTGTTTCTTCTAATGCTTCCCTGTTTCTTTTATCTTCTCTCAGTTAAAGAGTTGATTTTTAAGGTTTTCATTTATTTATAATACTCCTTTTTATGTGTTTCACCTTGTACTTTCTCCATGGCTAGTATGGATACTGCATTATACACATCCGAGTTACCACTGTTCTCTGGTAATAACACTACTTTGTTTTCATTCTCTCTAGTCTTTTAAGTATTTTGTTTTGTGTATTAATGCTGTTAATTTTTCTAGAAGTTATCAATTCTTTATAGAACTCATGCAGAGAGTTCTAGCCTGCTTTTCCAAGATTCCATCTTTTATAGGCTAAAGACAAATTCTTTTAGATTTCCTTTGTTTGAAGTGACTATTTTTCCTTGCATTAGTGAAGAATGTCTTTTTCATGCCATTTGGAGTTTGCTCAGCTTAAGGTCTGGGCTCGCACTTTCTGCCAGTGTGAAAAATGCAACAGTATTTCCTGAAGCAGCCTCTTCGCCTCCTCTCCTCCTCTGTGCACCTCTAACAGTATGCAGCTGAGTCATTTGTTACTGTGCCACGCGTACCTGAAGTGGTTCACTTTCTAGTCTATTTTCTCTCTTTTGTTCAGATTTCTGTCTTCTGTCATCTCCACTCCACTCTTGAACCCATCCAGTGACTATTCTTCTCTACCGTATTTTTCAGATCTGTAATTTCCATTTGACTTTTTATTGTAACTTGTTTCTTTGCTGCGCTTCTCTATTGTTTTCATTTCTTAAACAGTGAAACCTGTAATGACTTGTCAGATCATTTCTATGACGACTGTGTTAAAAGCCTTGTCAGATAATTCCGATATCTTACTCACCTCTGTGTTGGCGGCAGCTGATTATCTTTGCTTCCTGTGATGTTCTGGTTCTTGATGTGACAGTTGAATTTTGTATTATGTGCTGAACATTTTGGTAATTATGTCAAGAGATTCTTGGTCCTGTTTAATTTTTTTTTTTTTTTTTTTTTTAACTTTAGCAGGCTACTCATGCTGTTCAGTTTTAGCTTGCAGCTCCTGGCATATTTTTGTGGTTGGTGGTTCCAGTAACAATTTAATGCTGAGAAACTTTTGGTGCTTCTGTACTTGGCTTGGTTCATCTCACTCAGTTGGAGCTGCGCTGACACCTGCTGGTGCTCCTTGGAAGGACTCCTCAGGCTGAGCAGCATGTGGTATCTTTAGTTACAAGAAGACTGTCCCTTCCAGCCATGTCTGGGTGGAGAGCACTCCGAGGCCCTGTGTGCATTTTGGGATGTCCCTTGCTGGTGTCACCAGTAGTGTCCCTGCATTGTTATCCTTAGACTAGGAAGGGACTCTGATGATCCTGGGACAGAGCCAGCCTCACAGAATTACTTCTGCTGGTGCCTGCAGCACTGTATCACTGGGTTAGGAAGGCAAGTGTCAAGCAAGAAGAGTTCATTGCTTTTGCATTCCTGTGATGTTCCTCCTCCTTCACTTGTGTTCCTACAGATCCCCCCCCACACACACAGTCTTACGTTTTTTTCCTTGTTTGTTTATATTTGATACGATTTTTTCACTTATTTCTAATTACTCCTTGATTATGTCACATCTCTTGAAACCTTTCTTCAGTTACCCTTCTCTCAAATTTTTCATTTTCCATTTACTTTTCTTTCATAGCTCATCTGTTTCACTGGTGTCTGTCGTGGGTGCGCTGCAGGTTCAGCGGGGCATCATCCTCTCGCAGTGTCTCCCCGTGAGCCTTCTCCAGTCGTTTGTTCTCTATACATGTGTAATGTTACTCTCAGGCTTGCTAGAGAGATGGGCTGGGACCGCTTTTCTTGGGGAATACTTCATGTTTAATCTGCAATTCCTCCTTTAACTCCCCACCCTATATATATTTGAAATTTCTTGTATCTTTCTTACCCTTGATCTGGTTCATTTGAATATAATTCCCAGCAGTTTCTCCTCAGTAAGAGGTTTGTCTTGGAAGAGGAATTTAATGCTTCAAGAGTTTGAAAGGCCCGGAGCTTTCTGCAGTAGGGTCCCTTTGCAGTCATCTGCAAATCAGATCCTATAGAACACTGTCACTGGGCTGCTGTCCTCAGGTGTCTGCTTTCCAGTGGGGTGGCACTTTTGAGAGTCCCTTGTTCTCGAGGACCTAAGAAATTCAGTTACCTCCCTTCTGCTTTCTCTCCCAAGAATTCTGAGAGCCACAGGGTCTTGTGCTTTTTGCTACTGTCTGCTTCTTAGAAAGATTCATGGAGCGTACCTTGGTACCTAGTTTCCTGGTGCATCTTGGGTTTTTCCCATCGAATTTTTTTTTTTTCTGTGGAGGAGTCTGGGAATCAGAAAAGCAAATACAAAGCTGCATCATTGTTCTCATCTTCCTTGATGCCCTTACCTGTCTTTCCCTCTCTGTCCTACATCTGCACCATTCTGGCAAGTTTATTTCCATCAATCTGTAGTTTTTCTCGTAGTCTTCCTCCATTGATCACTTCATAAGTTAGTCTTTATTCCAGAGTCATTTTGCACACATCTAGGGGTGGTTTTTTTGTTCGTTGGTTTGTTGTGTGGGGGACTGACTGTGGGCATTGTGTGGATGAGGCAAGCGCTATATTACTCAGCTGTGTCCGCAGGTGTTCAGTGTTTTTGAGCACTCTCATATCTGTGTCCCGTCTCGCTTATCTTTAAGGTGTGCATTTCTGGTTAATGGTGTCCTTTTCTATCTGCTGTTACATCTTCACTTTTTGTTGGAATGTGGTATTACGAGCTTTATATTGTGTATTATAATGTGTTTGTATTTTGCCTCATTTTCCTGATGTATTTTAGTCTGACAAAAAGTGGAGGAGTTTGGAGTGGCTGTAGCGGTCTCTTACATAGTTAAGGGTCTCCTTAGACTGGGGAGTTAGTTCAGCAAAGCACGTTGGCAAGCACAAGGTCCACGAGTTTGAGCCCAGGGATTAAACAGATAAACACTTGGTTGCTGTAGGTTGCTGTTGTTGTCCTTGGCATATGGTTCTGTGAGCCTGCTGTCCCAGCCCCTTTCAGCCCTTGCGGTCAGAAGCTGCTGTTCAAGAAACACCACGGTGCCTTTTCTTAAGGCACAGCCTCCCTGAGCCTGCCATTTCTCCTGTTGTCCTTCTTAACCAGCGTGTCACCAGTGCTGTGACCTGGGCTTGAGTAGGCTGGTGGTGGGGTGACCTCTCGCCAGTGTTACTCTGCATGTGCTGCTTTTTCACCTGCACCCGCTGGCGTGTTGCGGTTGGCTCACAGACAGACTTCAGGCTGGCTGCTCATTTGCCCACTTTCGTGATGTTTAGTTTATTGCTTTCCATTTGGCATAGGTAATAGGTGTTTTTATTCTGTCTCTCTCTTTCTGTCTGTCTCGTAGATTTTCAGAGATGTGAGTACAAGATCCATGAAGCTACCCCTTGAAACCTGGAAGCTTCTTTTCCTCTTCACGTTTTTAAGTAGATGCATTCTTGTTGAATAACTGTTTTCATCATGTACAGTTAATAGTGATCTTTATTTTTTAACATCCTGTTTTTAAAAATGCAGCTAAAAAATGGATTTGGGAAAAAATACAACTAAGTAGTTTCCAAGTAATACAGCACAGCTAGCCACTGTGACTCCTGCTTACCTGCCGCCCCCTTCAGGGTTCTCTTCCTCCTCAGACGGTGCTGACTCATTTGGCAGCGGATGCCCCCGCGGTACGAGGAGGCTTTCTGGCCACACGAGGCTGGGAAGCTTTCCTGCCCTGGCAGAGGCCTTAGTGGTGTCACAGAATCATTCTCTCTTGCCACTGCTGCAAAGGAAAGGAAGGATATAAACTGAGGTCCGATTCCTTTCCTTCTTAACCGAAAAATGCCGCTGAGCGTCGTCTCCAGGCTTCCTTGCTTCCCTGTGTGCCATTATTGTTTCCTCCAGGTGAACAGTAGGTTTGTAGGGACTGAGGGTTGGGGAGGATGCTGGTGGCAAGGAAGGGAAGTAGCAAGGGCCTGGAGAAAGCTAAAGACTTGACAAATGTTTGAAGCTTGAATTCTTAGGAGCAGTTTGATTTTATCAGGGTCAGCATAGTGGTCCTTAAGCAAGAAAAATGCCAACCCCTTGGATGAGAAGAATAGTGTACTAGACTTTGAAGAGCTGGAATTGTAATTGGTTTGTGAAGTAACATGGACTGCAGAGATTCTGGAAAGAATTTTGCAAATGAGTATTAAAATGCATTCTGCACTCAGCTGAAGTACTTGTACGTGGTTCTCCAAAATCACATTTTTAGTTTGAGTGTATATATTAGTTTTATAGATACCGCCAAGCATGCCAAGATTGTTCTTCATGAGCTTTCATTTTCATTTTAGAGCTCATAATAACATTGTGTCATGCTATTCCAAGGTTGTATTTTGTTTTAAGGAATTAGAATGTGTCATCATAACATAGCGTTAACATAGTGTAGGTTTTAGGAATGCTGGGGATCAATTCATTTTCCTAAAATAACTCCATATGATATAAATATCAGAATAATTTTTTCCTTTCTTATATAATATATGCTACTTAATAATTATTAAGTGTCCTAATTCATGTGAAAAATACTTTGATGTGTGTGATGTTAAGTATGAGGTTTTTTGGTTATATTTTTATTGTTTATTTTGTGTTTTTCTCTTTTGTTCTTAATCTGTGTAACCTTTAACCCAAAAAGTTAAGGAGTAAATATGGAGAATAAGGAGTTAATTTGGCTTACAGTATTCTTTTTAGTCATCCTCAATTCATAAGATTTTGCTTTTTGTTTGTTTCTGAGTGCATGTTATTTTATAATTAGCTTATGTAATCATTTCCTACTATTAGATAGGATTTACCTGTTCTGTCATGAATTTTGTAGTGATATGTATAAGCCTTATATATTTAAAAACACTTCCTTAAAGTTGACTAAGCATGCTATTGAATTACCAGGAATGAATCTTTTAGAGCTTCTAATGTTAAATTTTAACCTTTCCCCTAATACTGTTTTAATGTACATCAAAACTTACATGCTAGTTTACAATGAAACTAAAATCAGTATTGTGTCTTTTCTCACTAGGGAGTTCTGGGAAATTGTTCATTCATTTACTGATGATCAGAAAAGACTCTTCTTGCAGTTTACAACAGGCACAGACAGAGCACCTGTGGGAGGACTAGGAAAATTGAAGATGATTATAGCCAAAAATGGCCCAGACACTGAAAGGTAATTGTTTGTTTGTTTGTAACAACATACTCCTAAAACCTTACATTTCACATTACTCATATGTGAACTGTCCTTGTAGATTGTAAACACTTTTTTGATTTTTACATAGAAATTTCCAAATCATACAAAGTATTAGTTGAGAGGATATTTGGTGGTGGTCTTTAGAAAACTTTAAGAAAAGTAGCCAAGTTAAAAGTTACTTTGAGGTTTATCTTGGTTTATAGTTTTTCATGTTGGCATGATTCATTCCATTTAGTTCACAATTTGTTAATTGAAAGACATACGATATAAAATCTGTTGAATGGTTAAGTTGAAGTTTAGGAAATTATTCACCTTCAGTTATATCATTTTGGCATTTAATCATATTCCCTTTCCACTGAATAACTTGTTATGGGGGTTAAGGACAGTACATGAGCATATTTTGTAGGTAAAATTTCTATGTTCTATATTATTTGATATGTCATGGTGCTGACATAAATTGGCTTATCTTATCAAGTTATTTTATAGTTATATTACTAGCAGTATTTCTGATAAACATTAAAGAGCACAGACTTTGACATGTCTAAAACTAGATTTGAGTATTTCTTCCACCTTAGAGTAAGTTAATTCTTGTTGTCTTCAACTCTCAAGTGGGGTTGGTGATGCCTATTCTGTCCAACGGTTGTGAAAAGGTTTAGGTAAATGAACTACAAGGGTTAAGTACCTAAAATAATACGAAGTTTGCAGTTATACATTGTCATCATCGTCATCATCATCATATTAGCATTAACTTGCAGAATGAAGATAAATCTGTTTCTTGGTAGTTACACAGCAAAATGTTTGTCTTTATGAGTTGCTTTAATATATAGTCTTCGTTACAAACCATCTCAACTTATATACCATCTAAAAGTAGGAGCATTTAATACTAAGCATATTTCCCATGACTTACTATTTTCCTGTTTTTCCCCTTTCTCTCTATTTAGGTTACCTACATCTCATACTTGCTTTAATGTCCTTTTACTTCCGGAATATTCAAGCAAAGAAAAACTTAAAGAGAGATTGTTGAAGGCCATCACATATGCCAAAGGATTTGGCATGCTGTAGAACAAAAAAAACACACACAAAAAAAAAAAAAAAAAAAGGAAGAAAAAAAAGAAAATTTAAAATTTAATAACTATAACAAGAGGGATAAATTTGGTGGTGATAGTGTCCCAGTACAAAAAGGCTGTAAGATAGTGAACCACAGTAGTCATCTGTGTCTGTGCCTCCCTTCTTTATTGGGGACATGTGGGCTGGAACAGCAGATTTCAGCTACATATATGAACAAATCCTTTATTATTATTATAATTATTTTTTCGCGTGAAAGTGTTACATATTCTTTCACTTGTATGTACAGAGAGGTTTTTCTGAATATTTATTTTAAGGGTTAAATCACTTTTGCTTGTGTTTATTACTGCTTGAGGTTGAGCCTTTTTGAGTATTTAAAATATATATACCAACAAAACTACTCTCCCAAGGACAACATTGCCACCATTTGTAGACCACGTAACCTTCAAGTATGTGCTATTTTTTTTAATCCCTGTATCTAACTCAAATCAGGAACCTTTTTTTTTTTTTTTTTATAAACGGTTTGCTTTTTAAACTTGAAGTCTTGAAAACAGTGCGATACAAGTACTGCTGTTCTAGTCCCCAAAGAATTTTCTGTGCAAAATCTTGAGAATCAATAAAGATGGAAGGGAGAACTTGAAATGTTTTAACTGCAGCTCTCAGAACTTTACTTTAGTAACAGCACAACAAATTAAAAACAACTCATGCCACAGTATGTCGTTTTCATGTGTCCTGCAATGAACTGTATCAGTAGCCAATCTTCTTTCGTAGTTTATGAAAAGGACAGGGATTTTGTTGTTGTTGTTGTTGTTCTTGTTCTTGTTGTTTTAAGTTTACTGGGGAAAGTGCATTTGGCCAAATAACATGGTAGTCAAGCCTATTGCAACAGTTAGGAAGTTTGTTGTTATATATATTAAAAAAGCATGTGAAAGTGCACTTAAAATAAGCTTTTTATTAATTACTTTACCTAGATTTTAAATAGACAATCCAAAGGTCTCCCCTTTGTGTTGCCATCATCTTGTTAATCAACTCTTTCTCAAGGCACAGGATCAGTGTTGCAGTGTGATAGAAAGGATGGCTACTGTGCCTTTTGTTACTTAGTTACACAGTAAGCAAACCTGGAAATGAATGGAACTGTTACTCATAAGAATAACCTTGTGTGTCCCCAAAAGTTAAATTTGATTACAAAATGTTAAAGATTACTTTCATATACCACAGCAGAGTACGTGTAGGTGAAAATTATTGGATATTTAAAGTAGTAGTTTCCCCTTTCCTAGTGTTGTCTATGATGTTAATTTCTTTTGATGCATTATAAAATAAATGGATTATGTATTTTTAACTAAGTAGAGAGACATTGATATATCATTTTACTGCAAGCTACAGTTTAATGTACTAAGCTTGTTCCTCAATTATTTTAACTGATACAGATCAATCTGATGATTTCAAATTGGCAGGAAAAATGTACCTTTCAAATCATTGGAAGGGAAAAAGGATGTCTTTAGGATTCTCTTAATTTTTTTTAATAATTAAGACAGAACTGTTTTGTAGTGTACTGCTGAATAAAACAGTGGCATTTTCCACCGTGATTTAAAGGAAGATAGTGCTTTTCATACTGTGATAAGGTAACATGGTTTTCCTGGGCCAGCCGTTAGAATGTTGCTTTGTACACTACCTTGATGCAAAGGATCCTCCTTTGATTATAATCATCGTAAAGGGCCCATCACCCACTGTGCTTCTTATGCATTAAGAGAGTAAGAGGAGGCTAAATGCTCTGGGGACATTTTATGTAATAAACTCATAAAAAATTTGTGCTCTTCACTTCTCAAGTTTTATTGTCACTACGTAAGTTCTGTAATTGTATTGTTAAGTTTTTAAATATAATTGAGTACAGATTATCAGGTACAGAATTCACATCAAACAGGTAAAAAAAAGGGTCAAAAAAACCTATTAAAATTTTTAAAAGAAAATTTTTGGTTGTACAGACTAGCTGCTCTTGCTTGCTTAGTAATCAGTTATTCTGGGCATGTGATCACTTGTGTTATTACTGCCTTTTCACTATTTACAGCTGAATCACTGTAATGAACAGTATCTTAAGAAGAAAATACAAACCTTAACTAGTAGCTACTCCTCTAATCCAAATATTAGGTTATAAAAGTACTTTTTGGCTAGATAGTATTTGACATATTTTCATTTTTTTGTTCAAAATTTCCAGGGAGCTCTTTAGGGGCCAAAAAATTGAACCATAAGTTAATTTGATTTCGATAAAATGTGAACTTCTTTTTACCTTGTATTACAAAATATTTCAGACATAAAATTAGCTATCAGCCAAACTTTTTCGGGAGCCTTGTAGCTTCAGCAAATGTTCTAATATTGTATACTGCTTTCCTGTACTGATTCTTTGTGTGATAAAACCCATGTATGACTCAGATTTCTCTACAGAGAGCTGCATATTGAAAGGAAACTTGAAAACAAGGCCTCAGAGAAGAAACTTGCTGATGCTATTCATTGTTCACTGGCACAGACACCTTACTACACACAACAAATGACTATAATTAGGCATTTTCTAGCCTTGTTCCCTCAAGACCATAGTGACATTTTGAGGCCATCTTAAGGACTTTCCTCAAGAATCCAGGCAAGGTATCAGAGGAAGAAACCCTCCCAGGTTATTTTCTCTGTGATCTTGATCTTTACCTGGTTACCTCACATTATTTTTCTGACCCCTCATTAGCCCAAGGGATTACCTATACCCTCCCCACAAAGCCTCCCCTCTGACTCTCGTCACCTTGGCTTCTTTTCCTACAATATTAGTGTGTAAAGAATTTCCCTGTCTGGGGAAGAGAGTGTTGGTAAGTGTAGAGTCCCAAGCCCTTTGTCCATTTCTGTTCAGGTTACAGTCACTACAGGATTTTGATTCAGGTATGGCCTGGGCCTCAATGCGCAAGGCTGCCAGTGCAGTGCTATACACTGAAAACCCTGCTGCAGGATACTCCGAGAACTTCCCAATGGCAGGATCAAGAACTCTTCCTAACCTCCACTGCACCCAGAACTGGGCTGCCGCTGCTCTAACTGTTCTTCCCGTCCAGCTCATCAGGGTCATCTTGTGCAGACACTTCTGCACTTTGGCTTGAAGTCTTCTCTGAACTCGCCCAGTTCTCTCTGGTCAACTGCAGTCACTCCAGAGACCTTTCTCTGATTCTGTGTCTTCTTCTGCTCAGACCTCCCTGTGTGACACCTTTCTGGTAACTCATTGTCAGTACACCTGAAAAGTAAATGTTCAGTCTTGACCTACCATCCATTCTTTGTTATTTTCTTGAAATTGGTACTTTTTTACCTGTCATTGAAATCTCATCTCTTGTTACAAGTTATCAGTTCTTTTCTCCTGTTTTTTTCCATTCTGTGCTCTGAATAGCTTCCTAATATACCTCCCTGACTCTGGACCACCTATTTCATTCTACCGAAATACAGCTTCATTACTCTTAATAAATTGTTCTTTTCTGAACAGCTCTCCAGGTCTAGGACACCCCTGTGCAGATGGAGCGCCCCTCTGTCCCTTTTTCCTGTGGCAGGCACCTCTCCTGGCGAGCCTGCATCAGGTCTCCACCGCTTTGTATCTCTCACATGCCCGTTGGACCAGGTTTGAGAAGCACCTGGTCCTTAGAGACCCTCAAGCCCCGAAGTGCCTGCTCAGCAACTCACACATCCACAGTGGCCCAGCGTGATGGGGCACAGCTCATTTGAACTGGAATTCTTACAGATCATCTTGGGGTGCTCTTGATAAGATCCTTCCTACAATTTATTTTGGAGCTTCTCTTCATTTTTTTAATAACCATTGCCAGAAGCATAAACAGCTTATTGTGGAAATAGTCTGTTTTTTACTTCGGCAAGGTGTTAGTGCCATCTTTTTACCAGCTTGA